CCACCGTGATTTTTGATGTTTTTTTTACTGATATCAGGTTTTTATTTTCAGATATTTGCTTAACAATTGTAGCATTTGGTTAATGACCCTGGTGTTTGCTTAATGACCACCTCAAGAAAGGTTGCAAAAACAGGTGCAGTCATGTGATGACTTAATTAATGACTGCCACAACCTATAACCATAACTCTGGGCTCAATTATGGTTGTAAATCATACATCAAACACAGAATTCTATATGGAAGTTCAAATATGCAAATTAAGTATGTGAACAGCATAGAATTTCACCAAGTGGCCTGAGATACAGTAATATATTGAGAGTGTGTCATAATGAAAATTGAGGACATATGTTTCCTGATCAAGAAACAAGCTGAGAAGGGAGTGGGTGGGGGAGGGCACCATAATGCTTGGAATAAAAACAAAATCTGGAAATAATTTAAACAAAAAACATGAGTATGAATAGAGATACATTGTCTTTGCTATTGGCAAAGTATCTTATCCCGCCCTGCTAGAGAAAGAGATTCAGGCTCTTTTCCCAGCAAAAATGCATGTACACTACATGACTTGCACAAATTACATGCACCAAATGTGAACTCTATGCTATCCCAGATTCTTTACAATAGGATTCTTTATAGTCTTGGACTTTCCATATCCAGGCTTTTTGGAAACTATTCTCATGGGTTTACATCATGGAAAGAGCCATGCTCAAATTGATTCTGACAAGACCAGAATAGTTTGTTGCATTCCATTACTTTGAGATGAAAATAATGATGTGCCCTCATGGCCTCTGAAAGCTTGTCAGTAACAGAGGAAAGTTGCAAAGGAAGTCTATATTTTCCCTCCCCTTTGTCAGAAGAGATAGAACCTAGCAGGACCACACAAAGCGCCATATGGTGTTCATCTTACTGACACTGAAGGGTCCTTGTTGCATTAGTCACTCCCAATGAGTCATTGTGTGAAGATGAAATATGAGTGTCAACAAAGCCCACTGTAGTTTTCAGAGATAATATTTTGTTCTAAATGAGAAAATGACCACAACCTCTGGTCTATCTAGCTCACGATTTTGATCCCTGCAAATCTAATCTTTGGTTTTGCTGACACTTTTTTTTATCCTGTCAGGGTACTGCACAGTGGGCAGAAAATCAACTTACATAATGATGAGGGAAGAAACATCTACCTGTTACATTTTTTCCTGTTTTGTTTCTGGAAAACTGAAAAGGAAAAAATAGCATCAAACCTACATTTTGCTATTAGAATTGATACTATTTATTTTTAGATGAACATAAGACAGCACACATTTTTCATTATGTTGCCTTAAAAGATGTTGGAATGTAACCAGTATTAAATCTGAAATATAATTAACATAGACTGTCTCAAATTTATATTTATTTGCTTTGAGTTGAGAAACTGTCATTATATAAACATGTTTTTGGATAATAGTTATTTTTTTCCCCTAAACACCTACCTGTCAAAGGCTTTCTGCCAGCCTTTTTATAAAATATGAGCCAACCCAAGTATCACTTTAGCAATAGCAATAGTACTTAGACTTATATACCGCTTCATAGTGCTTAACAGCACTAAGCAGTTTACAGGGGCAGGATATTGGCCCTAACAACCTGGTTCTTCATTTTACCGACCTTGGAAGGATGGAAGGCTAAGTCAACCTTGAGCCAGTCAGCGTTGAACTCCTGGCAGTGGGCAGAGTTAACCTGCAATTCTAACCAGTGTGCCACCATATTTCACTTCAGTCACATAGATAGGCGTTACACCCCCCCCCCAAAAAAAAAATTGGATTTGGATTGTGATTATCCACCATTGTGGTCCTGTCTGAAGTAATATACTCATACTAATAATGCTGCCTAAAGAGATGTGTGACTGAGGCATAAGGTCTTGCCACATGAACTATCCAAACAACATCCTAAAATAATTTTCTCTACTTGATGCCCTCAAAATATTTCAAGGCTATTAATTCATCACTATTCTTGACCATCAAGCTATAAGATGTTTGAACTACACCACTGAAGTAATACTTGAATTAATCCTGGATGAAAAACCTGCTTAAACTGTAGGCAATTTCACTCCATCCCTACCAATATTCACATGTACATGTGGATTGCAGTGTGATTTTTAGCAGATACAGTAAACTAAAGAATGACCAGGTTTGTAACAGAAGTTGCATCAAGGATAACTGCATAAAACAAGATAGAACTCTGTTCTTCACATTTTTCTTGACTTCACTTAATAATAATAATAATAATAAAGTTGGAAGGAACCTTGGAGGTCATCGAGTCCAACCCCCTGCTCGGCAGGAAACCCTATACCATTTCAGAAAGATGGCTGTCTAGTCTCTTCTTAAAAACTTCCAATGTTGGAGCATTCACTGCTTCTGGAGGCAGGTTGTTCCATTAGTTAATTGTTCTAACTGTCAGGAAGTTTCTCCTTAGTTCTAAGTTGCTTCTCTCCTTGATTAGTTTCCACCGGCTGCTTCTTGTCCTGCCCTCAGGTACTTTGGAGAATAGCTTCACTCCCTCTTCTTTGTGTGTATTCAGGTGTATAATGTGTACTCAGTTGACTCATTTTTCTGCATTCACATAGCACCCTAAACTATTATGGTTTGGATTTCACACAACAGGCTAAGCAAAAATGTGCTTGATTAATGTGAGATGACTTATATAAAATGTGTTTCATATTTCTTGTTTCCATATAATTAAACAGTCGATATGAGTCACTTGCTCAATCTCTACAATATTATCTGAAAAGAAGGAATCCCTTTGAGATTCATCTTGCAGTAAATTCTTAAGCTCTATTTCAAGAAGCATGATTTGGCACCAGAAAGAAACCAGAAAGCTCCCATTATATGGAAGAATGCATTAAGACATAAAAATAATGTTTTAATTTATTTGGGGAAATGAAACAAAGACAATAATCATCAATGAATTCTGATGGAGACATGCACTCTGTTGAGATATGAAAAAAGTGACTGATAAGCTTTCAGTTCATGGATTTACTTTATTGGTAAAATCTTCATCTCTTTTTCTCTTTCCTTCTTTCTAACCTCTTCTCTGCTGTCTGCCTCCCACTCACTCAGCTGCAGTTTGGCTGTTGTCCCCAGCACAGATCCTCTGGCAGCTGTTTCCTTTTAAAAAACATTCAGCCTGCACCTACCTTCAGAGTGCTTTATCACTTTTAATAGCAGCTGAAGTGTCTTAAAGTTTCCAGCTGCCAGCCACATCTTCAAGATAGCAGCTGGACATGAGCTCCATTGTGACTCTGTCGTAGCACATACAATATTATTCTGAATGCAGTGAAACTCATGCTTTGGAAGAGCATTACAGAATCCTTTAGTATGTTAAATTCCATGTAGCAGCATTCTCATATAAATGCTCTTTTGTACTAAGACTTGCATTTTCCAATTGCGGGGTTTTTATAGCTTGAAGTTTCTACCCAAGAAATAGCACTTATGAAAAGGGAAACATGCCTTGGCAAATGTTGGCAATGGTACAGTAAAAAGCTGTTATGCTGCCACTTCTTTTCATTCTTAAGCTATGCAATGTGAAATAATATGCTTACACTCATGCTCTCACTCAGATTTGCACAGCATTAGGGTGAGGTTTTCTGCTCTCATTTGCATGACATTCACACTACCTTAGGAAAGAAACTAGCTTCTGGAAAGAGGAAAAAACTTCAAGAAAGAAGGGAACTGCAGATTTATCAGTTATTCTATATTTTCATATTTTGGCATAAACCAAAAAAAACCCCATATCATTAGACCAATTTGATCTAGTGGTTATTAATCAATTTGATCTAGTGCACCAGCCTAGAAACCAGGAGACTATGAGTTCTAGTTCAGAGGTGTCAAACTCGCAATGTCACATGATGTGTCACAACATATCGCAACTTTTTTTCCATTGCTGGCAAGGGGGTGGGTGTGGTTTCGCCATGATGCACCCAGCCTGTGGGCCGGCCATTTGACACCCCTGTTCTACTTTCACTTTAGGCATGAAAGCCAGCTGGGTGACTTTCTGGGTCAATCACTCTCTTTCAACCCAACCCACCTTATGTAGTTGCTGTTATGAAGAGCGAGGAGTATTAGGGTCCATTTGTGCCTTGAGTTATTTATAAAAGCAATAAAGGCAGGAAATAAATAAAATAAAACCCATCAATTCATTTTTTTAAAAAAAATTAAATGCTACTATAAATAGTAAAGCAGCAAGAAATTATCTCCATTTTAATTTATGAGACAGAGCTAACCATTCCAGGGAAAAGCAAGTGTGAATATTTGCAACAGCCACCATAGTTTGGTGTGACACCATCCCCTGTTCACTGGACTTTCTCCTCCCCTTTTATCTAGCTGATGCTTCTTACACATCAAGTCATAAAGTATTGTTTAGTATCATACATAAAATACTGATGGAGCTCAGATTAGGAGCAAAATACAGCTTTGCCTGGGGAAGATCCTATGTTTAATGTTTGTAATTTCTACTTTTAAAAGACCTCAGGCCACAGAACTGGAAAGGCTTCTCCAGATATTCTTACAAAATTATTACCATTGCTCAGAGAAGGCCATACTAGGTCAGAGTACATTCAGAAAGAGAGCTAAACATCACTGCATCTTTTCTACACCCCACCCAAAATTGTAATTAAATTGTATAGATTGCTTCAGCTTCTTTGCTTTATTACTTCTAGTATGCAGTTCCACAAGGGGAAGATTAATGCAGGAATAGGTAGTCATATAATCTCTAAAATGCTCATTTATTTGGTTTTATGTTTACCCTGATTTTGCACCAATAAATGGCATTGAAGACAGCCATTAATTAAACACTGAGTCATGATTTCCCATTAGATTATATATAACCAGACTAAGGCAGCCTTCACCAGCATTAGTGATTTTGCATATAGCAAAAAAAAGGCAGCTGAAATAAATCACTGAAATTTGATTGAAATCATAAAAAATAACCAAAGCTCCTTACATACATGTACTTTCCTAAATTAAGGTAAGTTTACCTTTCCAAATTTGACTTCAATGCAATTTTCTTTAAATTTCTCCTGTAAAGTCTCTGCTAGCTGACAGAGCAAAGCACCATTATCCAATTTCTCCATGAAGGATTCAGCTGTTATTTCTTTTCCTGAAAAAGACACAAAAGGAATACCAATCAGCACCAGCGTTGTGGATTATTCATTGTGTGAAAAAACATGATTGCACTGTGGATTTTGTTTGTATCAAATTGTGATTGCTCCCTGCTGAAGAAATAGATCCCATATTATAACTCACATACACATTTGTCCTTTAAAAAAAAAGATGGCAGAGACTTTATTGGAAGAAAGCTATGGTCAATGAAGTCAAAACATATTTAATTTCATGGCTGCCAATCTGTATTTCCCCCACAGCAGTTTATGGTAACACTGAAGAGAGTTGTTCTAAAGTTTAAAAAACATGTAGCCAATGTAGTAGCGTCACATACTGAGACACCTCTTATAAATGCAGATGATTGCAATGCCAAATTGGCTGAAAAGATATGTTTCCATAATCTAAATTTAGCAGTTTTCCTTTAGGATTTGAGGAGGATGACATTACATTACAGCACCAGTCAAAAGACTTATGATTAAACTTGATGAGAAGATATTGGAAGCAACAACCAATGGATTGGATATCATTTACCTTAATGAGCTAGGGGATGAGGATGGTGGAAGTATTCAATATTTTCTGGAGCAGAAAAAGAATATTTTGCTTATTCGGGTTTAATAAATGTTATAGCTCTATTTAATCTTCACAGTTATAGTTTCTTCCCCACTGGAATGAGGTTGCCTCTGAGATCTGGCTGGCTTCCATTCTGATAGCATTCCAAAGGGCCTTGAAGACTTGCTGTTTTCCTAGACCTGGGCATGGGTGCATGAAGCCCCTTGCTGGATATTGGTTGTATCTGTTCTTTGTGTTGTTGGCAGTATTCAACACCTTTTCTGTTTTAGTTTTATTCTTTCTTTACTTTTCTAATTTATCTTCTATTTTTGTTTTGTTTGTATACATTGCGAGCTACCCAAAAAACATCCTGGAGTCAGGTAGCACCGAACTGAATTTTTATTGATTGATTTATTATTGGTAAACTCCACCTAATAATGCTAACAACACCACTGTTAAAATTACTATCAGTAATTGCAAAAGGTTGGAAGGATGCATAGAGAAGAGGTGCAAGACAGTAAATATGACAATTTTGGGGAAAAAACATATTTAACTTTTTATAAACAGCAATGGATGAATACATAACCAGTTTAAATAAATAAAGATAATAATGCATTTATAAGCATTTATAAACAAACACAACAGCTGGCCAGCTGAAAGAGGATAATTGGCGCAAAGAAACCCAGAAATTCTTTGTCTCTACTAAAACCAAAGAGACAACTACCTCCACAGCCTTTCAATTAGCTCAACAAAATGCCCTGGAGAACAAGTTCTGAGTAATTTGTGTATCCCAGAATGGCACTGCCCTTGAGCCTTTTATGGTAAAAAAGATAAATATCCATCAGTGGTAACTGGTATGTTATGCTTCTATCCTTCACTCTTGTCTCCAATGACAGACTACCTGAAAACAAATCATTGCAAACAGTCACATAAGATTGCCTTAACCATTTATTGCATCTTGATCATTTTTGATCTTCCAAGAATATTTTTTTTATACCTAGTTTGCATCAAAATAGGGATGCAGAAAAGCACTGCTCCTTCTATTACAGAATCTATTCTGCACCAGACTGCCAGAAATGCTTTTGTAAAATAACTGGAATAATTAGAAGGTAGTTATTTTGTTTTTGTTTTTCATGGCCCTCTGTGGGCAGAGGTGGGAGAAGACACAGAATTATTATGAGGATACTTTATATGATTTTCACAAATGCATTTATACCCTGCAGCCCAAACAGCAATCCTAAACATCATTTGCCTGCAGAAAAATACATGAAGTGTTCCCACTCTCATTTACTACAGTTGAAACTCTCAATGCAGTTTAGGATGCTGTCTAAAAAGCCTGAATCAGAATTCTCCAGCATTCAATATAAATCTTCACAATTAACTTCTTTCAGCACACTTCCACCTCCATTTTAAGATAACCATGACTAAAACTCTGCCTAATCTTAACTATATCTATTGCAGTTTCTTAACTTGTAATTTAAATAAGCATGTTTCCAGAAAACATAATGATTAATTACAATTTGATCTGGTGGACACATTAGATTGCTGTATAGTGTGAGTGCTGGTATGTATCTGATTGTATGCAGTATATATTATATATAATATTCCTTCCAGTCACTGTTGACTGCTGGCAGCTGCCTGGATTAGTTCCTGCTGTTTTCTTGGCAAGATTTTCAGAAGTGATATGCCATTGCCTTCTTCCTAGCGATGGGAAAGAATGATTAATCCAAAGTCAGCAGCTGCCTTCATATCTAGGGTGAGTCTAGAACTCACAGACCCTCAGTTTTTAGCCTGGTGCCTTAACCACTACATCAGATTGGCTTTCATGATGGATATACAGGGTTTGGTTTTCTTGTTTATAAACAACGGGTTGTTGTATATTATTGTTTTACTACTCTAATCCAGTCTTTATTAAGTCAGGATGACCCAGCAACTGTATTTAACCTAAAATGGGGGGGGGAGGCTTAAAGCTCCTAATCCTAGCTATCCTTAAAAAAAGTCTGTGGAGATTCTCAGTCATAGTTGCCTCAAAAGTGCTTTTTCAAAAGGCAACTGACTGTTTTTTTTCCTCGAAGAAGGAAAAAAAAAAAATTCATCCATAAAGTACGAAAGTACAGCTGACTCTTACATTCAGGGCTAAATTCCAACATCAGGATTTCTTAACAAAACAACCCCATCAATGCAAACTCAAGAAAGACTAATAAAAAAGCTCCCTCAAATCCCCAAACAAAAATATCTTTTTTTCAGTGAAGGTTTCAAGTTCAGTCATAGTAAGGAATCATGGCTTTCTGTATTTCTTTAATGTCTCAGCTGGCAAATTGTTACTTAATTTTGTGCTCTTTAAAATTATAGCTTGCCCAAAGCCTAAGACCAAAACCTAAAGTGTTATTATCATATGGTGGAAATTACAGACTTTATTTGCTTGCCACTTATAAGTTTATACAACAAACCAAAACCTAATTTAGCAAGCTTGACATTTAATTTATTTATCAATTTACTTGTGTAATACTGAAGTCTGAGCATTATGCAAAAAATATGAAATGTAAAAAAAACCATTTTCAGTATCAAATGAAGTACATTAAAATTGAAGCCATAATTAAAATCTTGGTCTTTTTAAGATATAAAAAGTTTGTTACTTTTGCAGCAATACATGGAAACACATTCTAGCTTTTCTTTAATTACACAGAAATATGATGGCATTATAGTTATCACATTAATTTCTAATAGTTAATTCTAATGATTGATGTATACTGTAAGTTTTCTTAGTAAATAAATTCTGCCTGTTATACAATAGTTGCTCCACTTTTCCCCCTTCCAACATAATAGAAAATTTTAATTGGACCAAGATCTGGTCACAAATTTATTAATACATTTACAATAGTTGAGGGTAGAATACTATAAGTGAAGTTTCATTTAGCACAAATGTGGTTTATACTTTGAAGCATGAGTAAAATGGTCATATGATATCTAATCATATCCTGTTTCATGATTTATGGTTCTGTCCTACTTCATTGGTTTATTTTATATACCTAGTCAAAGTAAAAAAAAAAAAAAGTTAATCAGATGCTGAATGAAATGCTGTTAACCACCACAAACCTGAAAATTAAAATTAATGAATTTTGCTTTCAACAAAAATAAGTTAGCTACATCAGCCTTCGGTATAGAGACTCTTGAGCTCAACAAGGAACATTTCTTTATCTACAACAATCACCCTGAAATCTAAGAGACTTCAACCCTATCAAAGGTCTAGTGAAATATTTTGAAATTATATCGTTCTCTTTTATGGAATTGCAATCCTGGCCTCCAATATCAGCACTCCATAGCCATATACCTATGTCCTATCAACAGGACATATGAAAATGAGCGACAAAGTATTTATAATGGCATGCTGATCAGCATTCCATGCACTAAGGCATGGATACTGATACGCATTGTGACGTATCATGAAGTTTTTTGCCTTTGCAGAGCCGGGATAGGCGTGGCCTGCATGTGATGCATCTGGCCGCTAGTTTGACACCCCTGCACTAAGGACTCTATATGATAATGATGAATTACTGAAAACACCCAGCATTTAGCAGTGTCATTTCCATTTCTCATTTAATTGTCAGATGCAAAGGAAAGTGACATAGCAAGATCATGAGCAGAAAGAGATCTTTCCATGGGGTTATTTGAGAGCTGATGTACATAGAACATGGCTGTCTGCTGGCTGATTGGCATTACTTGCTAGTACAAAGAAGAACAAACAGGATTAGGTGTGTTGATTAGTCAACACACATCCCACACATACAAGTTCTGTCAACTCAAGGGACTGTGTTGCATGTAAGGACCCTGTTTCAAAACTGGGAGAAGTCGTGTAGAAAGTGGATGGGGCAACTTTAATTATTTACTTTATTATTACATTGTATGATTTTATAGGGGGTTGATACTAGCTATAAAAATAATTGACATTTTTTATCAAAAATGTTTTGACACTGCTGATCCTGGCTGATCCCACAAAGGCCAAGCAGAATCCAACATAGTTAATATTGGTTAGGAGAAACCAGAAAATCCCAAGGCAGTGGGCCAAAATGGAAGTCAATGAAATACCTCAGAAGAAGGCAGTGACAAATCTTTTGCCTTACTGCCAAGAAATGACTATATAGCCACCAGGAATCAGTCCTGACTCCCAGAGAAAATCTTTATTTATTTTATATTTGTTTATTTTATTCAAAAATGCTTTTTATATTTCTTCAGCAGAGCAAAATAAACCATACAAATAAAGGAAAACACCAGATTAAGTGGGACCAACGTTTTCAACTATATTTTTCAGGGTGTGCATGAGTTAACTGATGAAACAGATCCCTTTTTCCCATTCAAAATTCCTCCCAAAGGGAAAAAGAGTGTCTCATTTGGGGGGGGGAGTGAGAATTAAGTTTGTAATGACATGCATTCAACTTCCTAATCTCACTA